CTCTGCGGGTCCGGTCGTCGCGCGCAGTTCTACGTCCCTTCCCTGTCCGGCAGTTCCCTCGGGCTCCCTTACTGGCCTCCACGTTCCCTCGTTCTCCAGGAACCTGGTTGGTGTCGGCTGTCTCCAGGACCTCGGCGTCACCACCACGTTCCCCGGGCACGAGCGGTTCGCTGTCTGTTCTGAGGCTGTCTCAGGTTCCCCCCTTGCGACGTTCCCCCGGGACCCGGTGTCCGGTCTGTTTACCCTACACACCGCTTCCCCCCCGGTTGGTGCGTCCTCCCAGGTCGCTGCAGCTTGCTCGTGTCGGTCCCTCACTCACCCCTCCCTTCTCTGGCACCACCGCTTAGGTCACCCTGCTCTCCCGCGTCTGCGTCACATGTCCCAGCACGGTCTTGTCTTAGGTCTCCCCGCGTCGCTCCCTGCCCTTCCTCCCTCGACTGCGCCACCGTGCACGCCTTGCGTCGAGGGTCGGCTCCGCCGTGCTCCTCACTCCTCCTCGCTGCGTCCTGCTACTGCCCCCCTTCAGACCCTGCACTTGGACGTTTGGGGCCCTGCCCCCGTCCCCGGACCGCGCGGTGAGCGCTACTTCCTTGTGCTCGTTGACGACTACACGCGCTACACCACGGTGTTTCCCCTGGAGCGGAAGGCCGACGTGCCCGACGTTCTTCTCCCGTGGGTTGTAGCTGCGCGTCTCCACCGCGGTCTCCCCGTGTTGTGTCTCCACTCCGACCGTGGCGGCGAGTTCGCCTCTGGTCGGCTTGGACAGTTCTGTCGTGCGGAGGGCATCACCCAGTCGTACACCGTTGCCGGACTCGCCACAGCAGAATGGGGTTGCTGAGCGCCGCATCGGCTTGGTCATGGAGGTCGCCCGTACCTCCATGATCCATGCCGATGCCCCCCATTTTCTGTGGCCGTTCGCTGTTCGCTACGCGGCTCACCAGCTTAACCTGTGGCCACGCTCCCAGCCGGCCGCAGGTTTCGCCGACCCTCCTTTGGACCGGGTCCCCCGGTGACCGCGTCTGCGTTCCACGTCTGGGGCTGCCTTGCTCACGTTCGTGCCTCTGGCACGGACAAGCTCACTGCCCGCACTGTCCCCTGTGTCTTCCTCGGTTTCCCCCTGGACTCGTCTGACTGGCTTTTCTACACCCGCCGTCTCACCGCTTCCTCCACTCTCGTGACGTCACCTTTGACGAGTCCGTCTCCTTCTACCGCCGCTTCCCTCACCGAGGTCTCCCAGTTGCCCCCCCCCTTTTCCTTGCTCCCTCTCCCCCCGGTAGCCCCTGCCCCTCTCCCGCCTCGTCCTGCCCCCGTCTGGTGTCTCCCACGTCACTCCCCTCCCGTCGGTTGTCCCCGTTGAGGAGTCTGCTGACTCTGGTGGTACCCCGGTCCGTCCTTGCCGCGTCCCCTTCCCCAGTGCCTCCGCCCCCACTGTCCGCAGTCGCCGACCCCGCTGCCGCCGCGTCGCCGTCGCCCGCCGCAGCCGTCGCCGCTGTCGCCGCCTCTGCCGCCGCTGCTCTCGGCCCCTGGGGGTGCTGGTGTGGAGGAGGGTGTTCGTCCTGCGGCTTCTGGGGGTGCCGCTGGTGTTGGAGGGGTTCTCGCTCTTGGGGTGTTGGTTCTGGGGGTGCTGCTGTTGAGTGTTCTGCCGACGGTCGTTCTGCCTCTGCTGGTCCGAGAGTTCCGGCCCAGCCGTCGTCGCCGCCACAGCAGCCGTCGCCGCCGGTTTCCGCTCTCCGCCTGCTCGGCCTTCCCTCCCCGGACCGCGCGCCGGTGTCTCCCCCACCGCCTCCTGACCTCCCTGTCTACGGTCCTGTGTTCCCGCCGCCAGACTCGTCTCCGGCCCGTCTTCCTCCTCGTTCCCCTCCTGTGTCTCCTCCGCTGTCCCCTGACCCTACCCCTCCGTCTCACGTTTGGGCTCGCCGTCCCTCCCGTGCTCGTCCCGTCTCTCCTGTCCTGCCCACCCACCCTATGTTGCTCCGTTCCCACTCGTCTCGTCCTCCCCTCCTCCCGTCCCCTCCTCCCTCGTCCCTTGCTGTTGCACCTCCTCCGTTCTCTGACTACCTCCGTGCTGCTCGTCCCCTTGTCCCTCGGGTCCTTGCCCTCTCTTGTTACCGACCCTGCTGTTCCTGTCTCGCGCCTTGACGCGCTTGTCGCTGCTGTCGCTGACTTCGCTTCTACCCGCCGCCTTGACTACGCTACCCGCTCTGGTCTCTGACCCTGCCCGTCCTCTGTCCGTCGGGGGTGCTCCTGCCCTTGGCAGTGACGTCCTAGAGGACAGGCAGTACGAGCTGGCTTTCCTTTCCGAGGCTGCTCCCCATCTCTGCTCCATGCTGTTAGTCCCTGAGGGTGACCCAGACGCCTTCGACATCCCGACCCCTCGCACCCTACGCTGAGGCCACCTCGGGACCTTGGGCCTCTCAGTGGATAGCTGCCATGGAGCAGGAGATGGCATCTTTGGAGATCCACCGGCACTTACGTCGACGCAGTTCCCCCGCCTGGGGTGAACGTAGTCGATGGTCGGTGGCTCTTCAAGGTGAAGCGCCCCCCCTGGAGAGCGCCTGTCTTCAAGGCGCGCTACGTGGCCAGAGGTTTCAGTCAGCGCGAGGGGTTGACTTCTTCCAGACCTTCGCCCCGACCCGAAGATGACCACTCTTCGGGCGCTGCTACACGTAGCAGCACAGCGTGACTACGAGCTTCACTCTCTCGACTTCTCTACTGCCTTTCTTCAGGGCAGCCTACCACGAGCAGGTCTACCTGCGCCGACCACAGGGCTTCACTGGTACCTTCCCTCCTGGGACCCAGTGGCTTCCTCAGGCGCCCGGTCTACGGCCTGCGTCAGGCTCCCCGCGAGTGGCACGACACGCTACGTGCCACGTTAGCAGCCTGCAGTTCTTTCCGTCCTCTGCTGACCCTTCACTGTTTGTGCGTTCCGGCCAGACTCCGTTCTACATCCTTGTCTACGTAGACGACCTGGTCTTCGCTACTCCTGACAGGGACGCACTGGCCTCTGTGAGGCTGAGCTGCTGAAGAGACACACCTGCACTGACCTTGGAGAGCTGCGTCGCTATCTTGGCCTGCAGATCTCTAGGGACAGAGCAGCACGCACCATCACTCTGACCCAGTCACACTTGGTGCGTCAGGTCCTTCAGAGGTTCGGTCTTCAGTTCTCCTCCGCACAGCCCACACCTCTACCCGTAGACCATGGGCCTCTCTGCTCCCGTTCCTGAGGAGCCAGTAGAGCCCAGTGGCCCCTACGCAGAGCTGGTGGGTTGCCTCATGTACCTGATGACTTGCACTGCGCCCAGCTCTCGCATACCCTCTCCAGCATCCTGGCTCGCTTTGTGGCTACAGGCAGACACCGACCTCAGCACTGGTCTGCCGCTAAGAGGGTTTTGCGTTATCTTGCTAGTACATCAGGCATGGGGTTAGTGCTAGGAGGACGCAGGCCAGTGGTCCTTCACTGGGCACACAGACGCTTCTTGGGCAGACGACGCTGAGACGCTCAGGTCGTCGCAGGGCTACTGTTTCAGCCTTGGTTCGGGTGCTATCTCTTGGAGATCCACTCGCTCGTCGTCTGTGGCTCAGTCTAGCTGTGAGGCTGAGATCTACGCTGGTGCCATGGCGGCACAGGAGCTCCGCTGGCTGACCTTCTTGCTCACAGACTTAGGTGAGCGGCCTAGCTCTGCCCCGGTCCTGTACGCTGACAACAGGGCCATGATACTCCTGTGTCAGGAGCCTCGGCTTGAGGGCAGAGCGAAGCATATCCAGCTGCGGTACTTCCTCCTGCGCGAGCTACAGCAGCGCCGCCAGGCCCGCGTAGTTCACTTGGCCTCAGGTGCCAACACAGCTGATATCTTTACTAAGGCGCTTGCGCCTAAAGATCATCAGCGGCACTGTGTACAGCTTGGTCTTGTTCCTATAGCTGCTCCCCTGTTAGGATCCTGATTGTGTACTCTCTATTATATATGCTTGTCAGACTGGCCTTGTGGCCTTACCTCCAGTGGCTGGACTAGTAGTGCCACCCTGGCTTGCTTCAGTTTTGGTTGTATTCTTGCTGACTGGTCTCCAGACCCCTGCCTCAGTGGTTGGACTAGTAGTGCCGCCCTGAGCTGTTTGCTTCTTGTTTAGTTTCACCCCTTGTCTAGCCTAGGGGGTGTGTCAACTTATACATATTATCTATGTAGAAGTTATAGGCTAGACTGAGGTATGCTTCTAGTGAGTACAACCAACTAGTATTTGTTCTAGGTTTCCACCTCTAGTAATCATTCGTTTCTACGTTAACACGTTATTGGTGCGCGACGATTGATTTGGCGTCAGATGCTCGGCGGATGAAGTTGCGACTGACCGCTCACACAGCTCAGTTTTTTCAAGAGCTCCATGGGTATGCAGTAGGTTTTTAACCCGAGGTTCAACAAGGTCGCATTTTCGCGCAACCCGTGTGGCTGTTCGGCTCACAAGTTGCACAGTTCACCTTTGCCCTAGTCTCAAGTCGCTGTCGAGGGTGCCTCGTAATGTGAAGCTTGAACACGAACGCCGAATATATCCGAGGTACAGTTTGTTTCTTTCGTTTCACCAAGCTGGCGAAAAGTCAAATGAGTCGCGCACGCGTTTCCCGCCTCGTCGCACACGCGTCAAATCGGCACCACTGCGTTTGTATCATTGTTCAGCTGCTAAAAAAACGCACCTCGGGAAATCGTACTGGGAACCCGTTTTTTTTCAAAGGAACCATCTTCAAGAACGGCGCTCTTGAGGCCCCCCCTCTGCTATTTTAGCCTGTGGTTTTAAAGCACGGAATAGTTCAAGGGCTGCCATTTAGAGTTCTTGTTAGAAGAGCCTTGTTTCTTGCCTCTCTGCATGATGATCTGCTAAGAGCACGAAGAAGTTGCTGTCAGAACTCAGCCACTAACCATTGAGTTAAAATGGCTTATTAATAGCGGGTCAATGCGCCCATAGCCCCCCAGGCTCTGCACCCATGGCCCTTCCACGAGGATCTTCTAAAAGGTAACCCTAGCGGGTCTCTCGACACCCCCCCTCGCTGGGATAGGCGGAGGACACGAGCGCCTCTACAGTGCTAGCACTGGGAATTGAACCCGAGTCACCAACGCTCTGATACGGTACCATGTCGAAAATTCAGCCACTAACCACTGGATTAAAATGGTTACGGTATTAATAGTGGGGCAATGCACCCATAGCCCCCCAGGCCCTTCCCCTAGGAGCTTCTCAAGGGTAACCCCGGCGGGTCTCTCGACAGTTGCAACGTGCATATCCTGGCATGGTGGCTGTCATATACCCAATCTGCGCAATGCTGATGGCACTTTTGACTTACTCCAAACAGCAGCAGCTGCTGTTGAAGCAACAGCAACAGCAGCTTGGAAAAGCCTAGGCCTCCAAAACGGCTGGAGCATGGAAGATGGCATGCTTGGCCCTGGAATGCATAGGCTCGGTGCTGAACAATGCGAGGGACTACAGTGCATACTCAATGTAGCGACTCAGTGTAGCAACTTTGTAACCAGCGAACCTTGCAGCCGCCCAAGCACAGCCCCATCGGGGAATGAGGGTGTTTTCACCACTCCGTAGAACTTCCCCGGTCTCTTTATAAGCTCATCCAGTAACCTGCGCAGTGACTTGCCTGTTGAGTCAACTTGTACACCCCGTGCCTTCCACACTGTGCCTTCCTGCATAAACCCATGCCCATTGTAACCGCGTAACCGCTGCAGGGGCGTGGGGTCAACAGCCAACCACGGAAACGTAAGGGTCGACGCAGCAGAGCTGCCACCTGTATGTTCACCCGAGGCTGCTTGTAGCGAGTCGAAAGAGAGAACCAGGTTGGTGTCACTTGTGCCGTCGCGTTTGGGGTTGCCCCTGTGGAGGGTGACTGAGGTGGGCACCTCGTTTCGCGACAGGCCCAGGGTCGAGGTGAAGAAACGAACGTTGTACTCGTTGTTCCACCTGTTGGGGTTGTTCATGGGAGGGGGAGGGGGAGGAAAGGACGGTAGGTGTTGTGGTGGTGTTAGACGTGGGTCACAAGAGTGAGGGCGAGGATGCTGGAGTGGTGACAGCACAATTGCAACACAGGAGTTGAGGCACGGGCACATGAAACCAGGTCCCAGGAGGTGCTAGGTTCTCACTTGTAGACGTTGATGTCGAGCCATCCGTGGGCCTGCTTGTCTCCTTTCGAACCTGGAACGGCCCTGCCTGTCAGCTTGGCGTACACCTCCCCTGAAGGCGCACGGAGTTGGGCAAAGGAGAGAAACAGAGGGCAGCGGCATGGGACGAGAGGCAGGACAGGGGCCATTGCCATTCCTGCAGATGTGGTGCGAATCTTCCCTGTGGGGGAAAGAGAGCAGGAAAGGGGGGAGCAAGCGGGGGCAGGAAAGGGAATCTGTGGCCCGAGCGAGCATGCCGCCATCCCGTGATTTGAAGCGGGGTTAGGGGCTCCTTGTGCGAGGGCGACAGAGGCCCTGCTTACCCCGCCTTCAGATTACCCAGCCTTCAGGTTACCCTGCCTCCATGTTACCCTGCCTTCAGGTTACCCTGCCTTCAGGTTACCCTGCCTCCACACGTAGGGCGATTTTGACGTGAGGGTGGCGCAACAGGCTGGGGGTGCGCATACACAGATGCATGGTGGCGGGGGATGCTTGGTTACTGGGATGCTTGGTGGGATGGTTGGTGGCGAAAAAAAGTTGCGACGGGGTCCAAACACGGCTGCCAGTGGCGGGATCCAGTCGCAGGGCAAAGCCTAGGAAAATGGAAGGGGGAGCTTGTGGGGGTTGGGAACCCAACGAAGCGATGAGTAGGCAGGGGCGACAGGACGACAGGGGCGACAGGGGTGACAGGGGCGACAGGGGCGATGAACGTACTGTACGGCAGGCCGATGAACCCGCTGCTCTTGCTCTGATTGCTCGCGCCGAACTTGGCAGCGTTGAACACGCTTGACACGTTCAGCGGTGAGCGCCAACGGAGAGACGGCCGTGCTGCCACCACTCCCAAACTGCCTGTCGGGGGGGGGCGGGGCCGCGAGGGGGGTGCGGGTTATAACAGCGAGCTTTGCGGCGTTGAACACGCTTGACACGTTCAGCCGTGCGCGCCAACCGAGAGACGGCCTTTCCCGGGCTGCCTGTCGTGCGGAACAAGGGAAAGGCGCGATGTGGCACGAGAGGGAGGAAGCACGATTTGTCAACTGAAGCGAGAAGCGCCCACTGGCAGTCCTACATCCCGAGTTCGCCTTACGTGCCTCAACTCCTGCATATCGAGTTTTACTATGAGTCCGACATATGCCCCAACAAAAGAGTTGGGCCCCCAGCTCCTCTGTCTACTGGCTCCTAGTCGTTACTCGCCGACCCGCAGGTTAAACCTCCCGCGGAAAGGGGCCTCCTAGTTTCTCCTTCCCCAAACGAACGACCTTTCCGCGCAACCATTTGCGCCAAGGGGTCTCCTAGTCACTCCTCCCCGCTTCCCCTCCTCCCTCCCCCCCTCTCCCTTAATTTCCTCTCTTTGCGTGTGCGTCCTCCTCCCCGTTTCCTAACCATCCCGTGTCTCTTTCCCAACCAGCGGTGGAGCTATCCGTCTGTCGAGCGAATGACATGCCGCTGGTGGGAATGGGCGTGTGGCGCGACTGTCGAGAACAACAGCACAATTCTGTCTATATCGGAGCTCTTCCTGCATTGCCAATCCGTCTGAATGGGATGCGACTTTATCTACGGGGCCTAAGTGGCGCAATCGTTAGTTCGATGCAATTTAATCCCCAGAGCGATCTGTCTTCCTCGGAGGGAACGAGAGCCATCTTACGAGCCCATGCGAACATGAACGAGCCGCATGCGAGGAGAATGGCAGTGCCGAGTTTTGAATCGACTCAAAACTCAGCTCGAATGGCAGTGCTGAGGAAGCGAAAGCAATGTCCCTCGAGTCACCTCAAGGTCTTGGAACCCCGCTGGAGGTTAGCGACACACGCGAGAAGTCACGTCTGGGGTCACCACACCTGAGATCGCGACGCATGCGAGGAGTATGCCAATGGCGAGGGAATAAAAGCGCGCGCACGTCTGGATCGTCATGGCCTCTCTGCAAGCCGCAGTGTTCCCGCCGATTTAAAAAGAGAACGCGAGTCGACTATTCCCCCGCGAAGAGCGGCTGAAGAGGGGAGACGGGGGTCTGCGAATAAAAGCGAGAAATACTTCAAGGACGAAGCGAAATGGCTCCTCCTGAGGCAGCTGATCTCGGGGCTTTGTCGGATGTTCAAGCCTCAGCAGCTGCGAGCTGAAGCGGAAAAGGCAGCAACTCGGAGTCGCACAAGCTGCTGCTCGTTCTAAACCTGCACGCTGCCTACTACCCCCCACGAAACTGATCGTTTGAGAAAATCTAGGCGTTTTCTCTTAACTACCAGCGTGGCTAGAGACTATCGCACAGCCACGGAAATGCCGCACGGGGCTTGTGTTCACCGCTGGCTAAGTGTCCAGCTGTTGGTGCAACGAGCACAGGGGCGGGTTTCCTGGTGATGGTGTCAGCAACAACTGAAGAGGTGGGGGTGCGGAAGTTGGAGTGACGGACAGCAGGCAAAGCATCATCATCAATCCAACGGAGCGCGATCAAATTGCAAAATTTCTTCGCCGACATCGGAGCGCAAAAATCAATTCTGGAGCCGCCTGTCAGAAGGTAAGGAAGGCTCAATCCGGGCTCCAGCCTCCTGACGTCAAGAAAATATGCAGGGTGACCGAAATAAGAGTGCGAATTTATCAGGCAGGCTTTACTTGGCGCTATATCCCTCTAGGTGCACCAATGGACACTGCCCGTTTTGGCAAAAGAAGCTTTAGCCCCATCCCCTTTCCCTCATAGCCTCTGCTGGTCCAGTCCCACTCAACATCTAGACACGTCAAAACCCAGGGCTTTGAAACCACATTTGCACGGTTGTTAACAAAATCATTTGCCTCAGAGCCAAACTTGAAATTCGAGTTCCAAGTTCTGGACCCTAAATTCATGAACATTTTCCCATACCGTCCGAAAGCAGGTTTTTGCGTTTACGAACCGTCCCAACGGAAGCAACAGTGAGCTTCGTTTCCCGCCACACATACTTGGAGCACGCGAAATTTGCGTTTTTGCGCTCGCTATCCATGTTGCCATTTGAGAGAATAGTGCACTAAAATGCACAAACCAAAACCAAACAAAGTAAACAAGTGCATTGTCCACTTCATCTTAAGCTAAAAATTACGAGACCCACAGAGACCACCACAAGAGAAGCGAAATAAATTCCCTCAACCTGCATACAACATTCAATGCAACACATGCCAGCGTGCAAGTTTTGGAGAAGAAATAGACAAAACCCTATGGGCAACCAAGATTAAGAAGGCAGGAACACTAACACAAATCGCCATGTGGGTTGGTAGACTGGATCTTTGTTCTAGAGCTATGCATGATATGATTTGAGGAATGTGGTGCATTGAGCGGGACCTTACAGGAAGGCCAACGACTCGTGACTTGTGAGTCAAGGCTCTACACTAAACCCTAGACCCTGAACCCAAGGAGACACTCCCACAACTGGCAAGGGACTTGTGAAATGGCATGTTCCCCAGGACTTCAAAGACAAGACTCAGGGCTCGAGACTCAAGAATTGAAACGAAAGACTCACGGGCTGGTTGAAGACAACAGCGGACACACCCACGGCCCAGAGGTCTGAGGTGAGGAGGGAGAGGTTGAAGAGAGCCGCACCGCCCAGCTGGGTTAGGTGGGGGGAAGAAGAAGGGGGGGGGGAGAGAGCAGGAGAGCTTGAGAAGATATTGCAGGTGATGTGGAGCAGATGTGTTGTGGAGCAGATGTGATGTGGAGCGGATGTGATTTTGGTTACATTCTTTCCGTCTAGGCATGGTTACGGTAGGGCAGCTAGTGGAGAAAACGCATCTGAAAAGGAGGGATCATTCCCATGCCGCTAGCTCACATGTACATGGGCAGCTTACACGAAGCATGAGGGGAGTGAGGGAGTAGAAGGCGAAGAGGGCGAGAGAGAACACCACCATTGGGAGCACCTGAGGGGTGAGTGGGGAGAGGAGGAAAATAAGAGAGTGAGGGAGGGGTTCCCTGGGAGGAAACACGGGTATATGCATGTGTATTCATTTGTATAATTGCGTGTTCAAACAAGAAGCAAACCTTTGCATAATAGCCAAGCACCGCTCGCCTCTCATGTTTTATGTACGACAGTAGTACAAGGGTGGAGGGGCAAAGATATCTGAGGAATTTCTGAGACCTGAGGGTACTGAAACAAAGCGAACATACAGTGCTGCCATCAAAAGAGAGTGACTGCAGCTCTTCTTTCTCCAGGAGAAGACTGCAGGAGAGCAAGGGAAGAATGAGTGTGGGGGGCAGTTGAGACATATGGTGAACACACATGCGAATGTGTGCATGACTACGAGCGCGCTTCATGGAATGACTATAAGATCTGTGTGACACTCGTGATGGAGAGCAGTGATGCACTCTCTCCTGTGTGAGACTAATGAGGTCTGGGAATGCTTACAGCTGTGTGATACTAATGAGGGATCCTGAGCATCCAATGAAGGCAAGCAGCTCAGTTGTCTCCACGCGATGGGCCAGATACTCCTGAAAGAAAGTGCGTGTGTGGGAAAAGAGAGGGGGGGGGGGGGGAGGCTGAGGGGGATGAATCCGTTCAAGTTTGTCTCAACACAGAGGCACCAGAAGATGCATACACACACAAGGGCACAGAGAAATGACTGTGGCACCACAGGGACAGGAAGGTGCATTGAGAGTGGCATCGCCAAGTGTGTGCCGCCCCTTGAAACAATGCCGATCAACAGCGTTGCACTGCACACTCACCACACACTCACCCACACACACTCACCACTCTCTCACCACACACTCACCACTGACACGTTGGAAGCTGCGTACAAAGTGGCACCAAGAATCACAAGCGCGTTTCCCAAAGTCGCATTGCTGCTGCCACCGGCAGTGCTGTCTGGTGGCTTGGATGACCCTGAGGCTGACAGGTGGGGCGAGGAGGAGAGGAGGACGTAGGAGGTCAAGAAGGGAGGACGGAAAGAGGGGATCATGGCTGCAACGAGCAGAGAAGAGCGCTTACAACGAAGTTGGAGTCATTTTGGAGAATTCTCGAAAAGAGGGTGCTTACACACAACATGTGAGCAGTGGCAGCGCATGAGCCTAGCTTCCGCCAACACACCTTGAGAGAGGGCAGCAAGAAGCACACCCCCTCAGCTGCTACCTGTGTTTGACGGGAGCAGCATGGCGGGGCCGGCAGTGCAGAGCAGAGCACCAATGGCACGGGAGCAGCGGAAGCGCGTGGAGAGACAACGAACAGGGAAGTGCATGGAGAGACAACGAACAGGGAAGTGCATGGAGAGACAACGAACACGGAAGTGCATGGAGAGACAACGAACAGGGTAGTGCATGGAGAGACAACGAACAGGGAAGTGCATGGAGAGACAACGAACAGGGAAGTGCATGGAGAGACAACGAACAGGGTAGTGCATGGAGAGACAACGAACAGGGAAGTGCATGGAGAGACAACGAACAGGGAAGTGCATGGAGAGACAACGAACAGGGAAGTGCATGGAGAGACAACGAACAGGGAAGTGCATGGAGAGACAACGAACAGGGAAGTGCATGGAGAGACAACGAACAGGGAAGTGCATGGAGAGACAACGAACAGGGAAGTGCATGGAGAGACAACGAACAGGGAAGTGCATGGAGCCTCCTGGAATATGGGTTTGTACCGATCGCCAGAAAGTGCACCAGCCTGCGGATGCGGGCAAAAAAAATCCAACCGACGGTCGGTGTGAATTCCTCATTCCGCATTCTGGAATGACTGCGTACCGATCAGGGCCGATGCGTGGACATGTAGCCAAGGTTCAAAAATACGGTTTTCGAAAAATACGGTCCGTATTATTCGGCCGTTTTTTTCGGGGATTTTTGGAAAAAAACGCCGTTTTTTAAATAGAGCATCTTTTTTTTTTTTTTTTTTTTTTTGCTAGACAGCCTAATCGTCCGCCAGATCCGCGCCATTCGTCCGCCCAAATGCGAGATCCGCGCATTTCGACGGGCGAAATGTCAGATCTGCGTATTTCGACTGACAAAACGTCAGATCCATACATTTCGTCCACAAAAAACGCAAGATCTGGCACATTTTGGTGGGAAAAATGCCAGATCCGTGCATTTGGGCAGGCGAAATGCCAGATCCGCGCATTTCGTCGGATTGTTTTGCACTTTTTTTAATATTTCGGCCGTTTTTTTTAACCAACCTATTTTTGCACAATTTTCACCGTTTTTTTCGTATTTAACGGCCGTTTAATTCGATACCGTTTAATACGGTATTTTTTTGAAAAAAACGGCGTTTTTTTTAACCCTGCATGTAGCTTCTCCATGTGCTACAGAACCTTCATCAGCACATAACAAGGCCTTAGGGCGGATTCCTACAAAGTTGGATGTACACCAAAGCTGGCTCTAGTTGATTTGGATCCCCCTTAGAGCCTGCTGTTTAACGACCAGCGGATCTGACGAGTGTTGCGACCAACGAACAGGGAAGTGCATGGAGAGACAACGAACAGGGAAGTGCGTGGAGAGACAACGGACAGGGTAGTGCATGGAGAGACAACGAACAGGGTACTGCATGGAGAGACAACGAACAGGGTAGTGCATGGAGAGACAACGAACAGGGAAGTGCATGGAGAGATGGAGAAAAAGGGGAGGAAGAAGCACACCCCCTCAGGTTTTACTTGCGTGTGAGAGGATGAGCCGGGCGAGGCTGGCAGTGCTGCAGGCAGAGCAGGGCGCCCGGCGCCTTTGATATGCGAGCATTGGTAGGCTGGTAGCGCTGTGAGAGACAGAGAAATAGGCGAGCAGAGCAGGAAGCACAGCACTCCCCCTCGGGTTTTACCTGCGTCTGAGAGGAGCAGCACGGCGAGGCCGGCAGTGCAGAGCAGGGCGCCGAGGACGTGCGAGCAGTGGTAGCGTGTGGAGAGGCAGAGCGCTGCCAGGAGCATGGCGGCTGGGATGGCCCAGCAGTCCAGGAGAGTGACCCGAGTCAACGAGGTGAAGCGGAAGGCCAGCACCACTGGAGGGGGGAGGGGCGGAGCGGAGGGAACGAGGAAGATGGGAGGGTCTGTGCTGGTGGCAAGCAGGAGGGGAAGGCATGGAGGGAAACATGCAGCAGTGCAGGAGGGTGACGCGAGTCAAGGAGGGTGACGCGAGTCAAGGAGGGTGACGCGAGTCAAGGAGGGTGACGCGAGTCAAGGAGGGTGACGCGAGTCAAGGAGGGTGACGCGAGTCAAGGAGGGTGACGCGAGTCAAGGAGGGTGACGCGAGTCAAGGAGGGTGACGCGAGTCAAGGAGGGTGACGCGAGTCAAGGAGGGTGACGCGAGTCAAGGAGGTGCAGCGGACGGTGAGGGCGACTGGAGAGAATGGAAGGAAGGAGGAGCGGAGGGAGAGAGGGGTAGGTTTGGGGGGGCTGTGATTGCGGCAAGCAGGAGGGGAAGGCGTGGAGAGCAGGAAACAGGCAGCAGTGAAGGCGAGTGACTTGACTCAACACGGTGAAGAGGAGTCACTTTTTAGAATTCTCATAAGTGAAGCAGAGGGCGAGCACGAATGGAGAGGGAGGGGGGAGGGAGGGGAGGGAGGGGCGGAGGGGTGGGTGTGGAGGGGAATGTGATTGTGGCGCGTGGGATGGCAGGATGGGAAAGCATGCCGTGGGATGGCAGGATGGGAAAGCATGCCGTGGGATGGCAGGATGGGAAAGCATGCCGTGGGATGGCAGGATGGGAAAGCATGCCGTGGGATGGCAGGATGGGAAAGCATGCCGTGGGATGGCAGGATGGGAAAGCATGCCGTGGGATGGCAGGATGGGAAAGCATGCCGTGGGATGGCAGGATGGGAAAGCATGCCGTGGGATGGCAGGATGGGAAAGCATGCCGTGGGATGGCAGGATGGGAAAGCATGCCGTGGGATGGCAGGATGGGAAAGCATGCCGTGGGATGGCAGGATGGGAAAGCATGCCGTGGGATGGCAGGATGGGAAAGCATGCCGTGGGATGGCAGGATGGGAAAGCATGCCGTGGGATGGCAGGATGGGAAAGCATGCCGTGGGATGGCAGGATGGGAAAGCATGCCGTGGGATGGCAGGATGGGAAAGCATGCCGTGGGATGGCAGGATGGGAAAGCATGCCGTGGGATGGCAGGATGGGAAAGCATGCCGAGGGCGAAACAAGGACTGCCTCTGAGGAGCGAGGGAAGAGAGCCGTTGAAGCCGTTGAGCGTTAGGAGCAGAGGGCGAAAAGGGCGAGATACTGACCGAAGTAGTTCCCCTCCACGTCAAGAAAGGAGGCGAGCAGGAGGACCCGCCACGGCACCTGGAAGTTGTGTTGGGTGCATGGAGGAGGAGGAGGTCTGCGATCTGTGGAAATCATCAAACATCACCTATGGCACCTCGAATGGTGCGTTAGGTGCCTTCTAGTCAAATCCGATCATGACATGGAGGCATCATGGCATGGGGGCATCATGGCATGGGGGCATCATGGCATGGAGGCATCATGGCATGGGGGCATCATGGCATGGAGGCATCATGGCATGGAGGCATCATGGCATGGGGGCATCATGGCATGGGGGCATCATGGCATGGGGGCATCATGGCATGGGGGCATCATGGCATGGGGGCATCATGGCATGGATGGCATGGTGGGTGATACGCGCGAGCATGTGAGCAGCTCGCATTGAGGGTGCTTATATCGAGGAGTTTTAACAGTCCAGTCCAGGGGGGTTACAATAGAAAAGTGCTGCATTGCAAATAGCTTCAGTAGGTAGGTGCACAGCATGCTCTCAGCACTGCATGCTCTCAGCACTGCATGCTCTCAGCAAGGCGAGCTCACAGCAAGGCGTGCTCACAGCAAGACGTGCTTACAGCAGTGCGTGCTTACAGCAGTGCGCGCTTACAGCAGTGTGTGATTTTAACAGTGCGTGCTTACAGTGAGCGGAGTCTTGCGGTGCATGAGGATGGCGCCATAGACGGACGCGAGGAGCAGGTAGTTGAGGAGAGATTGGAAGGTGGGGATGCTGATACCTGCCACGTGGCAACCATCCAAGCCCCTTGTCAGATAAGGGCGGTAGGCAATATCACATCACATCACATCACACTCACATCACATCACATCACATCACATCACATAAAATCACATCACATCACATCACATCACATCACATCACATCACATCACATCACATCACATCACATCACATCACATCACATACATCACATCACATCACATCACATCACATCACATCACATCACATCACATCACATCACATTACATCACATCACATCACATCACATCACATCACAGACACCAAGTGCCAGGAACAGTTTCGCAGGCGCCTCAAAACAAAGTTGGACTAAAGCACGATGCCGTGAAACCATCTCCACGTGGCACTCGTCGCCACGTGTCATGGTCCCAGCGCACCTCTGGCGGCGAGCAGCGCGGAGCACGTGGCAGTGGCGGTGAGCAGCAGCGACATGAGCTGGCCGAGCGCCAGGGCTTTAAGCCCGTCCCGCGAGTACACCCATCGCCACTCGTCCCACGAGCTCACCCACCGCCACTCCTCTCGGCAATCCCAAGGGCAGCACCACCACGGCCAGGGGAATCGCCATGGGTGCTGTTGATCCCGCGCTGCTCCGCTGTCTGCGAGACTCTTCGTTTTATTTAACGAACCCCCTTCATGGTCACACCCCTCCTCAGACACCTCTCCGCAGCGGCTCTGACTCGCTTGTGAGCTTCCGTGCCCGCTTCTGTATTCGCGCTCAGATGGACACGTGGAGGGCTGCAGGAGCTCCACGTCATCGAGGTCGGCTAACGCTGCGTCGCCATGTCCTGTGCTGCGGCCTGCTGTTGGCTGTGCCACGTGGCAAGCAGTCAAACCCCTGGTAAGACCCTCGCTCGATCGTCTATCCCAAAGTTCAAGATTTGATTCGGTGTTCGGTACACGTGTAAGGCTGCTGTAGTCCAGCGACGTGCGACAGACAGTGGCGACGGACGGTCGAGACTGAGGAGACCGAATGAGAGGCGAGGATTCATCGAGCAAGCAGTCTCTTTCCATAGACAACGGTTGCGCGCGGCTGAAAGCTCCAATGGTCCGGAAACGAGAATAGTTCCGTTCAGACTACTCCCTCGCCACCCTCCGGTCAGATGGTGCAGTTGCACCGTTCAGCTTTAGGGACTGGAACCAGGATGGAGGGTGCTGCTGACCAAGTGCAGGAGATTTTTTAACCACCTTGGCTTGACGTGGATGCGAGAAAATCCTCGTCACAGAACGAACAAGCCCTCAACCTCATGCTTTAGATGACTAGCAAATTGATCTAGGTTGAGTGAGAATATATGATCGTGTCTACATAAGATATCTATGTATTTAAGTAAAATAAAATCCCATAAAAACGTATATCTTCAGAGTTCAAGGTGGATTTGGTAGGAACATAATAAGTATGAGTCGATAAAACCATTCAGATGTTGAAGCCTATTTGATAGAAACAAGTACCTCGCTCGAAAAGATTCAATAATTTTCAAGCTATAAAACATGTAAGTGTCGAGAGACCCGCTAGGGTTACCCTTGAGAAGATCCTTGGGGAAGGGCCACAGGTGCAGAGCCTGGGGGGCTATAGGCGCACTGACCCGCTATTAACAAGCCCTTTTAACTCAGTGGTTAACAGCCGAGTTCTGATAGAAAGTTAGGTATGTGATGTTACAATAAGGAAGTGACACTCGAGCCGTAACCTTGTCAGGTTCGCATCTATGACGCAAACCACGAAGTGCAATGATCGTTGACACGTAACATACAAACCCTAAACAGACAGACGTTCAAGGGCCCGTCACAACAGAAAGGACACATAACTGACTCTGTAATAAAGCGTGGGCAGTTACCCGAGTCGTGTGCAGTTACCCGAGTCAGATCTGAAACCTCAAAATAATGTACCCCTGTCAAGTGCATCTTATCAAAGTAGCTGAGTAACTAGAATGTGTGATACGCGGTGGTTTTGTAATAAGGACTTGTACTCTCTAAGAGTACGCATCTATCTAGCCTATAGTAACATATAAATATATGTTGGACACACCGCCTAGGCTTGATGAGGGGCAGTGGTAGGCACGAGACACGCAGCCCAGGGTGGCACTACTAGTCCAATCTCTGAGGCAAGGGTCCGAAGACCGTCACCAAGAGTACAAACTAAACAGGATCAACATAGGCCGGCACTACTAGTCCAGCCTCTGGAGCAAGAGCCACAACGCCATTCAGGACAATATAAGGAGTAGTACACAATTAAGGTCCTAGCAAGTGAAAAGCTACAGAAACTAGACCAAGTTGTACTTATTGTCACTGCTGATTTTTAGGCGCAAGCGCCTTCGTAACGATATCAGCTGTGCTAGCATTAGAGGCCAAATGCACTACGTGGGCCTCGCGACGCTACTGTAGCTTTCACAGAAGGAAGTACCGTAGCTGGATGTGCTTCGCTCTACCCTCCAGTCGAGGCTCCTGACACAAGAGGATCATGATCCTATAGTCAGCGTGCAGGACCAGGGCAGAGCTAGGCCACTCACCTAAGTCTGTGAGCAAGAAAGTCAGCCAGCGGAGCTCCTGTGCCGCCATGGCACCGGCATAGATCTCAACCTCATAGCTAGAATGGGCAACAAACGACGAGCGTCTGGACCTCCACGAGATGGCACCTGCACCAAGGCTAAAGCAATAGCCTTGGGAGGACGTGAGTGTCTCAGTGTCGTCTGCCGACGAAGAGTCTGTGTGCTCTGTAAAGACCACTAGCCTGCGTCCTCCTAGCACTAGGCCCATGCCCGATGTACTTGCTAGATAACGCAAAACCCTCCTAGCAGCCGAAAAGTGCTGCGTTCGGTGTCTGCCTGTTGCCACAAAGCGACCTAGGATGCTGAGAGGGTATGCGAGATATGGATGAGTGCAAGTCATCAGGTACATGAGGCAACCCACCAGCTCTGCGTACGAACCACTAGGCTCTTCTGAATCCTCAGAGACTGGAGTTGAAAGCTTGTGATCTACTGGCAGACGTGTAAACTGTGCAGAGGAGAATTGAAGATCAAACCTGTGAAGGACCTGGCACACCAAGTGTGACTGTATGAGAGTGATGGTGCTGCTGCTCTGTCCCTGGAGACCTGCAGGCCAAAGTAGCAGCGCAATTCTCCTAGGTTAGTGCAGGTGTGTCTCATCAGCAGCTCAACCTTTACAGAGGCCAGTGCCTCCTTGTCTGCAATGACGAAGACAAGTTCGCCTATGTAGACAAGGATGTGGAACGGGGTCTGGCCTGAAGGAACAAAAAGCGAAGGGTCGGTAGAGGACGGGAAGAACTGCAGGTCAGCTAATTTAGCACGCAACGTATCGTGCCACTCGCGGGACACCTACCGCAGGCCGTAAACCGGGCGTCGGAGGAGCCACTGGGTTCCGGGGGCAAAGGTGCCGGTGAAGCCTCGTGGGCGACGCAGGTAGACCTGCTCGTGAAGACTACCCTGAAGAAACCTTGTGGAGAAGTCAAGGGAGTGCAGCTCATAGTCATGTGTTGCCACGTGTAGCAGCATCCAAAGGATAGTCATCTACGGGTTCGGGGTGAAGGTCTGAAAGAAGTCAACACCCTTACGCTGACTAAAGCCTCTAGCAACGTAGCGCTCCTTGAACACCGGCGGCTCTCCAGGAGGGCGCTTCACCTTGAAGAGCCACCGGCCATCGAATACGTTTTCGTCAGGTGGATCTCCAAGATGCCATCTTTGCGTCCATGGCAGCTATCCACTGAGAGGGCCAGTGTCTCGAGGTCGCCTCAGCGTAAGTGCGAGGGGTCGGAATGTCAAAGGCGTCTGGGGCCCCCTCAAGGACTAGCAGCATGGAGCAGAGATGAGGCGCGACCTCGGACAGGAAAGCAAGCTCGTACTGCCGGTCCTCCAAGACGTCACTACCAAGGGCAGGTGCACCCCCGGCGGACGGAGGATGGACAGGGTCAGAGACCAGAGCGATGGCGTAGTGAAGGCGGTGGATAGAGGCAAAGTCAGTGACGGCAGCAACATAAGGGTCAGGACTGGAGACAGGAACAGAAGAGTCGGTAACAAGAGAGGCGAGGACCCAAGGAACAAGAGCACTAGCAGCTCGGAGGAAGTCGGACAAGGGAGGTGGAGCAACAAGAAGTGAGGACGGAGGAGGTGACGGGAAGGACGAGACGCGTGGGAACGGAGCAAAATAGGGTGAGAGCGCTAGACAGGAGAGACAGGACGAGCATGTGAGGGATAGCAAGACCAGACGTGGGAGGGAGGCGTCGGGTCAGGAGACACAGGAGGAGACACGGGAGGAGAATGCGGGGGAAAACGAGCCAGAGACGAGTCTGGCGGAGGAAACATGAGACCGTAGACACACGAGGAGGCGCAGGCGGGTGGTTAGGGGAGGGAAGACCGAGGAGGCAAAGGGCGGATACCGGCGGCGACACACCGACACCAAAACCTCCAGCTGCACCACGGCTACCTCCGAAACGCTCCACGCCAACACCCCCAGAACGAAAACCCTCTCCAGCACCGGTGCCACCCCCGAGACCGCTAGGACAAGCCACGACAGTAACCCCAGGACTAGCACCCCCTGAACCCGCACCCCCAGAATGAGAACCCTCTGTAGCACCGGTGCCATCCCCAGGACCACGGGGACAAGCCACGACAATAACCACAGGACTAGCACCCGCCCCAACGCCCACACCCCCAGAATTCGCGGACCCTTTCGGCGGCTGCGGCTGCGACGGCGGCAACTGCTGCTTCCGCGGCGGCGGCAATGGCGGAGGAGGAGACATCAGGGAAGAGACAGGCGGTGAAATAGAAGCTGCGAGGCCCTCGGAGTTAGCCGAATCCTCCACCGGGAAAACCGACGGGAGGGGAGTGACATGAGACACACCAGACGAGGCAGGGAGCAGAGGAAGAGGAGCAAGGGCTACCGGGGGAGTGGGGACCAGGAAGAGGGGTGGGGCAACCGGGAGACCTCGGTGGAGGATGTGGGTGTAGAAGGAGATATGCTCGTCAAAAGTAAGGTTACGAGAGTGAAAGAAGCGATGACACGGTGGGTGGTAAAAGTGCCAGTCTGACACGTAGAGGGGGAAACCAAGGAAGCCACAAGGGACGGTGCGCGCAGTGAGCTTGTCTGTGCTAGAGGCACGAACGTGAGCAAGGCAGCCACAGACGTGGAATGCAGATGCGTCACTGGGGAACGCAGTCCAGAGAAGGGTCGGCGAAACCTGCTGTCGCTGGGAACGGCCACAGAAAATGGGGTGCACCGGTATGGATCATGGATGTACGAGCCACCTCCATGACCAAACTGATGCGTTGTTCAGCGACCCCATGCTTCTGCAGGGAGTCCGGTAGGGTGTGCGTCTGGGTGATGCCCTCCGCACGACGGAACTGGCCAAACCGACCGGAGGCGAACTCGACACCACAGTTGGAGTGAAGACGAAGCACATGGAGGCTGCGATGGACCCGCGTAGCTACGACACACGAGATAAGAACGGCAGGCACGTAGGCCTTCCACTCCAAGGGAAACACCGTGGCGTAGCACGTGTAGTCGTCGACAAGCACCATAAAGTAGCGCTCTCGACGCAGCCCTGGGACGGGGGTTGGGCCCCAGACGTCTAGGTGCAGGGTCTGGAGTGGCGCAGTGGTAGGGGGGAACGAGGAGGAGTAAAGAGCACGGTGCAGCCAGCCCTTGACGCAAGGCGTGCACGGCGGCACAGGCGAGGGAGGGAGGGCAGGGAGCAACGTAGGGAGACCGAAGACAAGCCCATGATGGGACATTTGACACAGACGCGGGAGTGCGAGGTGACCTAAGCGGTTGTGCCACAGAAATGAAGGGTGGGTAAGTGACAGACACGAGCAGGCTGGAGCTACCTGGGAGGACGCGGCGACCTGGGGGGATGCTCCAATTAGGGGTGATGAGCGGGCCTTATTTTTGAAGGGTAATTTCCCCGAAAAAAAAACATTAAGAGTTGGCGAGACCCCCGTTCCGGAATTTGAACGGGTAAGGCTACGCGAGATTCCGGAATTATTAGAAGTAGTGTAGGTAGGGGGTCCGAGCGAATCAGAAATCGCCAATGGTCCAATCCGGACGCCCCCGCCAGCCCCCCCCCCCACCCTATGAGGCCTATCCCCTCACTCAACTGCGTGGTTGTACTTCCCGTCCAATCACAAGTCC